GACATGGGAATTTTCCCATTTTCTGATGGCATGGGCAAAACGTAGTGGCACCTGGGAGGAGAGAGGACCAGCCTCCTCCCTGCTCACTATTGCTGCTCCCTTTTCGCTGCCTCAGCTACCAAAAATCCCATTTGCATCGGTGGTTTTGATTCCCTTCAATACCTGTGGGTCCTCCCTTGCTCTTCCCGTGGGCTGTAACTGTCCCCATTTCTCTTCCTTTGCTCTTACCCCCGGGCTCTTTGCTCCTTCCTCTGCAAGAACTGCACTCCCCATGCGTGTGCCCTGGGTGCTCCTGGCCAGCCCCCCGCCCACCTCCAGCCTCTCCCTCTGCCAACCTGCCCTGCCCTGCCCGACACAGGTGCAGACCTCATTGAATCGATGCCGATACACCAGACCGTGCCAGGGCCTGTTCCTGGTGTCATTACTGCTAAGCTGGAAGGAACTCAGTGAGCACGTAAAACAAAATCCTCCCAAAATCAATTTACCGATTTTACATGTGTCTCTGCACTCTTAGAGCTCGTACATTGACTTTTATATAAAGAGAGAGTGTTCATACCTGGAAAAACCAGCTTTTGCTGCTTAGACCTTGTCCTAGTAAAGCTTCCTGCAAATTACAGTTGCTTTAGTACAAATGGAGCTGTTGGAGTGAGTCCAGAGGAGGCCACAAAGATGATGTGAGAGCTGGAGCACCTCTGCTATAGAGACAGGCTGAGAGAGGTGAGGTAGTTCAGCCTGGAGAAGAGAAGGCTCTGGGGAGACCTTCTAGCAGCCTTCCAGTACCTAAAAGGAGCCCCTTTTAGGAGGCTAAAAAGAAAGCTGGAAAACAAGAAAGCTAAACAAGAAAGCTGGAGAGGGGCTTCGGACAAGGGTGTGTAGTGACAGGACAAGGGGCAATGGCTTTAAACTGAAAGAGGGGAGATTTCAATGAGATCTAAGGAAGAAATTTAGATTTAGATTAGATATAAGGAAGAAATTTTTCCCTCTGAGGGTTGTGAGGCACTGAACCAGGTTGCCCAGAGAAGCTGTGGCTGCCCCATCCCTCGAAGTGTTCAAGGCCAGGTTGGATGAGGCTTTGAGCAACCTGGTGTAGTGGAAGGTGTCCCTGCCCATGGCAGGGCAGTTGGAACTGGATGACCTTCAAGGTCCCTTCCAACCCAAACTGTTCTATGGTTCTATGACCGATTCTATGAAATGCTCTATCTTACACAAAACAGGACAAACACGGAGGAATCCAGGCAGACAGGCATCAGTGCCCCCATTTGTGCAGCAGCAGGAGCCCAAATCCCAAATCCTTGGCTCTAAACACCCAGAGCCCACAAGGTCCTCCCGTGTGATGTGGAGCTATGCTGAGA